AACCCGGTGTTAAACAGACCTGGACTTGCTCTGACCCCCCGCCCAGCACCAGTAAGTCCTGCCAGGCCCGCTGGCCTGCACGCGGCTAGCGACAGAGCCCCAGCTTTTGGATCCAAGCTGGCTTGCACCCGGCTGGCTCAGGATGGGAAGCAGCCGAGCTCGGGTGGCCTGGCAAAAGGCCACCACGACACAGCCGGGGCAGGCAGCTCCGCTGTCCCTATGCCCCTGCCACCCAGCCGGGGGTTCCCTCAGGGCCTGTGTTCACTAAAAAACCCGATGCATTTAATAACACTCAATCGATCTTTGTATTAACACATTGGGTTGCACTCTCTGTCACTATGCTCCCTATGTCAGTTTGCGTAAGGTTCAAGGAAACCAGCATCTGTCGATGCACTCCTGAACGACAGAGGCACAAAGCTGGTACGGCAGGAGGAGGACTGCAGGATCGGGGAGGGAAGAAGAGGGAGGTACCAGTCCTTCGCCTTGCCGAGGTCGGGGAGAGCTTTCCGGCAGACACGAACCCCGATTCTTCTCTTTCAGCACAGCACCCTCTGGTGCCTTTGCCAAATCCTGGAGACGAACGCTCTGCGACTGCCCAAGTCCCGATCCTCCAAGCGTGAGAAATGCATCCCGCGCAGCTTCACGCTGCAGAGCATCCAACTCTCACTTAGGAGTCACAAATAAATGGCCTCTGCGTAGGTCACTGTGGGTGTTACGAACTAATGGTAGACTGGAGACGCCCTGCACTCAGATTTGTGGGCAGACAGGTGGGGGCTGCAGGATCTCACCCCAGAACTGGATTGAAGCTCTTCAAGAAAGGTCCTTTAAGCAAGTCAAAGTAACAGAAGATTCATCACCCTTGCTGGTGAACTTTAGCAACGCTTAAACCACCTTAGTAATTGGAAACTCCACCTTAATTCAAGCTAGAGCTTACTTTCAGCACACCACCCATTGGAGCTTCTCTGTGAAATGTAATCCTTGTTCCGCAAAACTTCCTGTTCATGTCCAGAGACTACACTGGGCAACAAAATCAACTCGCATTCTTCTTCTCCGTGACAAACTGAAAAGCCTGAGATTCCTAAGCCTTCCCTCTAACGGCTTACTTTCAAGCCCTGGATTATTTTTATGGCCATTTTGTATATCCTTGTTCAACTGTTTGGAACTGACAAT